ACGTTTGTACAACATCCTAGGTTCAGATCCCAGCTCCGTCTCTTCCCGGCTATGTGATCCAGGCAAGATCTTGTCTCTCTGTGCCTCCGTTTTCTTCTCTGTAAAATGGGGATGACTCCAGTTGTGAATGAGCCTCGTTCATGGGCAAACGGTGTGTTCTACTGAGTCTGCGTCTAGTAGGTGCTAAACGTGCCTAAGTTTTTTATTTTTTTGCTGATAAAGGAATGCAAAAAGGCAACCACGTGTCCAAGGCTGTGTGTGCTTTTTCTTTTTTTAATGTCTGCTGTTAATAAAATATTTTTACAGAGACCAAAAAGTCAGAATAGTGCAAAACATCTCAACACCATGCATTCATGACCACTTCTCGTTTGTGTTAAACATTTGTTCCAAGTCACATATTTACAGAGAAATGAAGGCATCTGTGCAGACGCCGGACCGACGGGGTGGAATCAAAACAAAACAAGAAACGAACAACGTTTTGATTTCACATCTGCAATCACATGCTAAGAGAAGCTGTGTGGAGGGGAAGCCTCCCGGGACTGCTTGGCCGATTTGGAGGTTGTCTGACGGAGCACGAGACAGGGATGGACAGGGGTCAAGTCCCCCTGGCTGTGTGGTTGGGGATGATTGGGGGACCCTCCGCTTGTGACCTGTGTCTCCAGAGAGCCACTATGGCTGGATGGGGGGAAGGGGTGGGGTATTACTTCACACAGTCAACTTCATTTTTCTCTAAAACAATAAAAGGCAAAGAGAAAAGCAACACGTGTCAGCAAAGACAACTTTGGTCCTCAACGATTCTTAGGAAAGGATTTGAGGAGCAGACGGGGTTGTGACCCAGGTCGGAGGCCCTCCCCCCAGCTTCCCCAGGGTGGCAGAGTTCCGGGAGGCCCCAGGCTGTCCCCATCTGCAAAATTGACAGCACATGGGGGTAGGGGTGGGGGACAGAAAGGCTCTGAGATCCCAGCCGAGAGGTCCCAAGGATTTCTAGTTGGGTGTTTAGTTTTTTGCATCTCTGATGGGGGCATGGTGAGGTTTCAGGCTCTGGGGCCTGAGAGGGGAATCGGGGGCATGGACAGGCACCTCCTCATTTTATGCAAATCATTCGAGGACAGACTGGTGAGACAGAACAGATCCTTTTTTCTCCGGGACACTCTCTTTACTTCCCCCAAAAGCCCTGCTCTGGTCTCTGCAGTTCTTTTTCTCTGTATTTCTCCATCCCTGTGTCTCTCTCCACCTCTGTCTCTCTCCGACCTCATCAGGGCATGATCTCACCCTCTGTCTGTTTTCTTTTCATTCTTTCTTTTTTTTTTTTTTTTGACAGGGATTTTCTCTTGTCACCCAGGCTGGACTGCAATGGCTCAATCTTGGCTCATTGCAACCTCTGCCTCCTGGGTTCAAGCGATTCTCCTGCCTCAATCTCCTGAGTAGCTGGGGTTACAGGCACACGCCACCATGCCCAGCTAATTTTGTGTTTTTAGTAGAGATGGGGTTTCTCCATGTTGGTCAGGCTGGTCTTGAACTCCCGACCCCAGGTGATCCGCCCGCCTCGGCCTCCTGGGATTACAAGTGTGAGCCACGGCGCCCAGGCTTCTGTCTCTGTTTTCTACTTTCTCTATTCCTCTTGGTCAGGGGACTTTGACGCATCACTCAGTGTCACCCCTTTAACCCCCACCCTGCCACAGGCCAACCTCTGTGGCCTTTCACTGATTCATGGAAATCTGGGCCACCTCCTTGCATGAAGCCAGGTCCAGGGTTCAGAACCCTGGAGGTGTCGTCAAGGCTGGGCCCTGCATCCACTTGCTGGGTGGCTTTGGGGAAAGCCCTGCCCCTCTCTGAGCTTTGTTCTGCCAAGACAGGAACTTCCTGATTTCAAAAGGTTTTCAGCCCCCTGGACTCTTTGTCTTTTCTCTGTCCGTGTCTCAGCCGTGTCCACTCTCTGTCCCATGTGTTGGCCTCAGTCTGGCTCAGACAGCTCCTAAGTGCCCAGGTCCGGGTGGAAGGGGAAGGCTGGTACGGACACGGACAGACGTGCATGCGGATGTGTATTCACACACCGACCCCGTCCCAACACATAATTCCACTAGGCACATCCTCGCTGGCACCCCCTTGTCCTCAGCCTGTTCTAGGTAAAGTTGGGGTTCCTGAGAGGCCTCAGACCCCAGTCTGGGAGAAACAGCTCAACAGAGACACTCCCAGTCCCATGGCATCAGGCTGGACTGGAGGAGGGACGGAGTCTGGGAAAGTCCTGAGGGGAAAGAGGGAGGGTTTTCTTCAAGAGAGGTTTTCGTGATGGGTTTTGAAGGATGAGTAGGAGCTCTCTGGGGGAAAGAAAAGAGGGAGGAAATTGCAAAAACAGTTCTAGCCTGGGAGTCAGGAAAATTCATTCACCAAATATTCCCTAAAGCTTGTTTCCTTCACATATCTGGGCCATTGCTGGGGAACCCTAAACACACACACACACACTCCCGAGATCTTGACCACACACACACACACACACACACCGAGATCATGACCAGAAAGACTCCTAAGGAATCCTTTGGGAAATATTTTGGCTCTTCAGGCAGCTCAATTTCCCCATTTCTTTCCAGCCATCCAAAATCTTCCAGATCACCGTCACCCCAGGTCACAGATCACATCTTCCCCTTTGGGGTCTACTGGTTACAACCCTGAGTCATCCATCCTCTCCCCACCCTCAGCCATGGCATGGTCTGAAACTCACATCTGCACCTCAGTCCCTTAACAGACACTCCCTTATTCCTGGCTCCAGCTTCCCAATCCTGCATGAGAATTTGCATTTTAACCTTTGGTTCAGAACCTCTAGTCACCTGCACCCGTCTGAATTTAAGGGACACGCGGTACCTTCAAGCAAATTAGAAAGTGGCGCCCCTTCTTCCAGACAGTTGCCCTTCCTGTGTCGGTAAACCATCATCATAAACATACAACACTTAAGGTCTAGGATTTGCATGTGGCCTTCTTAGAGATGCCAAACCGTTGGGCACTATACACCTAGGACAACTGTGCCCCACAGTCCTGAAGCTCATCTAAGGGCCGATTTTTTTTTTTTTTTTGATCGGGGAGGGGACAGATGGAGCATTGGTTGCTGGTTGCCCAGGCTGGAGCACAGTGGTGTGATCTCAGTTCACTGCAACCTCTGCCTTCAGTGTTCAAGCAATTCTGCCTCAGTCTCCTGAGTAGCTAGGACTACAGGCACACACCACCGTGCCCGGCTAATTTTTGTATTTTTAGTAAAGACAGGGTTTCACCATGTTGGCCAGGCTGGTCTTGAACTCCTGACCTTAAAGGATTTGCCAGCCTTGGCCTTGCAAAGTGCTGGGATTACAGGTGTCTTTTCCTTAAATACAGCCTTCGGAATTTTTCCAAGAATCAATTTCAGCATCTCCAAAGCATCCTCACCCCTCTTCACTGATTTTAGTCTTCACAGAACAGCTTTTGCATGCTGGAATACAATCTCTCCCCAGCTTAAAAATCTCCTAGAGCTCCCCACCTCTCTTAGAATAAAAGTGACACTCCTCAGGACAGCAGACGAGACCCTGCCTGGTCTGACACCTCTGCAGATCTCCTCGGCCCCAAGGCTCCCTGGGGTCCTCCTTGCTGGCTCAGCTCCAGCCATGCCACCCTTCTTCTTGTTTCAACAGTTCTCATCTCCTGGCCTTTGCACGTGCTGTTCCCCCTACCTGGAGCTCTTTTCTCTCAAGCAAGTGGTTCCCTCTCATTCTTCACCTCGGAAAGCCTCCCCATCTGATCTTCCAACCTCCAGGAACCCAGCTACTCATCTCACCCCGTTTTCATTTCTCCCCAGCACAGCAAAGTCTTGCCCTTCCCAATCCAGCAGAAAAAGGCATGCCATCCACACAGGCAGAAAAACAGAGCAAACAGTTCATGCTGAACTTTCTCTAAAGGTCCTGTAAGCACACGGTAACTCCAGCCAAGTCACCGCAACCTTGCTCATTGGAGAAGGAGTTTCCAGCAGGCAAGAGGGCCACCCGAGCATATATCCTGTGGCTTGGGTGTTTGAATGAATGAATAGGATCTTGGAAACTCAGCTCCGAGTGTGTTTGTGTTTTTTCTCTCTCTCTCTCTCTCATGCACACACACCCCTAGAGTTTCTGGTCTCCTGTTCTTTCCTGTCTGGAGAATTCTGGGAAAGGAAGAAGGGGTGGAGAAACCTGGGACCAGAGTTCCCAAATTCTCTCTTTTGTGGTGGGAGGTCAAGAGCCCTCATGGCATCCCCTAAGGAGTCCCAGGAGAAAGGGTTGAGGGCAAGGGTTTTGCTTGGCAGCTAGAGTAGGACAGGTGAAGTAGGGGTCTTGGCCTGTACCTCCCACCCCTTGGAGGAGGCCCCCAAGGGGGAATTAGCAGCAGTAGGGAGCTGTATCAGGTCATCCCGACCTCAGCCCACCCTTCCATGGGGCACACAGGTCTAAGGGAGGGGATAGAGGGTATGGCACTGGGAACCTCAGCCGAGTCTCAAGCAGCTCTTTGAGCCTCAGTTTTGCCATCTGTCAAATGGGTGTGTTGAACTCTACGATATGAGGACTGGGTTTGTTGGGAGAGAAGAACAGGCTAACTCCCAAAGGGAAGTAGGGGCAGCGTGGGTGCCTCAGAGCCGTCCCTCGGCTCCCAGGGTTTGGGCGCCCAAGGGCGCATGTGCTTTTGAAATCCCATACTCCCCCCTCCCCCCATTTATTTTTTGCACAAACATCTAAAGGGACTACGGTATTCCCGGTCCCTCCAACCAGCATCCTGGTCCATCCCGCCCCCAGGCCACCTCCAGGGGCGCTCCGGGGAGCCCTAACCCTTGCCCAGGGCTCCCCCTTGAGTGAGCTGAGATTTTCATACTTGGCAATTGGTCTGGGGTCCCAGGGTTCTGAGACCCGCCTTATGGCTTTTCCAGGGGACAGGAGACGGTACCTCCCGGTACCACAGCCCCGGGATGTGGCCTCCTCCATAGGGACGAGGTTTCCCCCGTCCCAGCTCAAAATGCCCCCTAAATGCTGGGGGCGTGGCCTCGAGTTGGAGATGTGGCTTCTTCCTTCATCGCACCCTTGGGCGTGGCCTCCTGAGAGGGCGGGGCATCCTTCATTCCTAATTCCCCCAAAGGGAGAGCTATATCAGGGACGTAAGCGCAGCCCTCCCTCGGGGCGGAGCCCCCCGAGCCCCGCCCCGGGGGCGGTCCCACTGAGGCGCAAAGCCCCCCCTCCCCGCCCAGCGCCCTCCGCGCAGGCGCAGTGCCGCTCGGCTGCGCGCCCGGCGCTAAGGCGCAGGCGCGGCACCGCCCTCCTCGGCGGAGCGCGTGTCCGACTTGAGCTTCACGAACTCCTTGGCCACCTCGTCGTTGCTGCGCTGCGAGAGGATGCGCAGCACCGTGAGGCCCGTGTCGTCCATGTGGATGCGGCGGCCGAGCGACAGCCAGCAGGCGGCGGTCCCGCGCTGGGCCAACTCCCGCAGCTGCAGCACGGCCAGCCCCACCGTGCGGTCCTCGCGCGCGAAGCAGTAGTCCTTGACGCACACCTGCAGCTCGTAGCACTCGGGGCTCGCGTCTGCGCTCAGCGTGCTGCGGGGAACGGGGCGGAGCGTGAGACATGCCACGCCCACCGGGACGCCCCGCCCCACGGCCTCGCCCCCACTGCGTTTGCGGTCCACGCTCACGCCGGGGAGGGCCACACGGGGTATCCACACCTATCACCCCGCAACGATACACTAGCCCCGCCCATGCCCCGTGACTTGTCCTACAACCCAGTGCTTGGCCACGCCCACAGCAGCTGACCCTGAGCTGGGCCACGCCCACACCCCAGTGTGTTCCCTTTGCACCCACGGAAAAATGACCTCATAGTTTTACATCCAGCTCCCGCCCCTCAAAATAACCCTTTCCTCAAACACCGCCCCGCAAGCCCATGCTCCCAACATGAGATACCCGCGCCTGTGCCCTCTTCTGGCTGAACTGCTACCCGCACGGCCCTGCCCCTAATGTACCACCCAGACGCTCTTTAGGCCCTCGTCTAGAACCCCGACGTGGCCCTTTCCCCATACACCCAGCCCGCCCCTCTTCCTCCCAAGATGCCCTCCAGACATGAGCCTGCCCTGGTGTCTCACTATGGGTGACACTGCCTCCCGTATGCCCGTCACCTGTACTCCTGCCCCTAAGCAGTCCCAGTGACCGACAAGAGCCCTCCTGCAGGGCCATTCCCAGCTGCTCCCTCTTGTCCCCCTCCCAGGTCGCACACCTTGATCTCTGAAGTACTCCGACCCACTCTTCCTGACATCTGACCTCCCACTAGACCAGGCTTCTCCTCCCTAAGGGAGCCAATCGTCCCAAACCCTTCTGACCAAGAGCCCTGTGCTGACACGACCTGGAACTGGCTTCAGTCTTGTCCCATAGGAACTCCCAGCCCCTAGATGATACCAGCTAACCAGCTGTGATTTACCCTTACCCCTGTGCACCATTTTTTTTTGTTTCTTTTTTTCTTTTTCTGAGTGGGAGTCTCCCTCTGTCACCCAGGCTAGAGTGCAGTGGCAGAATCTCGGCTTACTGCAACCTCTGCCTCCTAGGCTCAAATGATTCCTCTGCCTCAGCCTTCCTAGTAGCTGGGATTACAGGCATGCATCACCACACCCAGATGACTTTCTGTGTTTTTAGTAGAGATGCGGGGGGGGTGTCTCACCATGTTGTCCAGGCTGGTCTCGAACTCCTGACCTCAGGTGATCCACCCACCTTGACTTCCAGAGTGCTAGGATTACAAGCGTGAGCCACCTCACCTGGCCCATAATTTTTTTTTTAAGACAGGGTCTTGCTATGTCTGTCACCCAGGCTGGAGTGCAGTGGCATAATCATAGCTCACTGCAGCCTTAAACACCTAGGCTTAAGGGATCTTCCTGCCTCAGCCTCCCAGGTAGCTGGGACTACTTCCTTCTGCATTTCTGTCCTCCGAGCATCCAACAACATTGCCCTGCCCCAGTGCCATGTGAGGCTGACAGTCGACCCAAGGATCTACCCCACATGACCCCAACTCTGCCCCTGCTAACCACCCCCATCTACCCCACTGAGCAGACTTTTTTATTTTTTTGAGACAGAGTCTTGCTCTGTCACCGAAGCTGGAGTGCAGTGGCACAGTCATGGCTCACTGCAACCTCTGCCTCCTAGGTTCAAGTGATTGTCACAACCCGCAGCCTCTGGAGTAGCTGGGATGACAAGTGCCTGCCACTACACCCGGCTAATTTTCTTTTTCTTCTTTTTCTTTTCTTTTTTTTTTTTTTTTCTTTTTTGAGTCTGCTCTGTTACTCAGGCTGGAGTGCAGTAGTGCCATCTTGGGTCATTGCAATCTCTGCCTTCTGGGTTCAAGTGATTCTCCTGTCTCAGCCTCCCGAGTAGCTGGGATTACAGGCGCCTGTCACAACGCTGGGCTTAATTTTTTATATTTTTAGAAGAGACGGGGTTTCACCATGTTGGCCAGGCTGGTTTCAAACTCCTGGCCTCACGTGATCTGCCCACCTCGGCCTCTCAAAGTGCTGGGATTATAGGCGTGAGCCACCATGCTCGGCTAGAGCAGACTTCTTTTTTATTTGAGACGGAGTCTTGCTCTGTCACCCAGGCCGGAGTGCAGTGGCCCGATCTTGGTTCACTGCAACCTCCACCTCCGGGGTTTAAGCGACTCTCCTGTCTCAGCGTCCCAAGTAGCTGTGATCACAGGCGTACACCACCACACCCAGGTAATTTGTTTTTTGCACTTTGAGTAGAGAGGGGGTTTCGCCATGTTGGCCAGGCTGCTCTTGAACTCTTGACCTCAGATGATCTGCCCGCTTTGGCCTCCCAGAGTGCTGGGATGACAAGCGTGAGCCACCAGGCCCGGCCAGAGCAGACATTTTTTTTGCTCTCCACATTATCAGCATCCTCTAGGCCCTGTCCTGATACCCAGAGCCTAGGTGCACTCACAACTCTAGGAACCTCCATCCAATGTGACCCCCACCCCGATGCCTGGAATCCATCCACACTCCACTCTTGTTCCCAGAGCCGACTCCCTCCGAGGGGCTGCCCCAATGGTCCTGAAAAGGCTCAGTGTGGACTCCAGGAGTCCCCAACCCCAAGCGTCCTCAGTCATGTCCCAGGTCCCTCAGCCCCTGACTCATAAACTTCACCACTGCCACCCTCATCCCTTCACCAGACAGTCTCCAGCCCCAGCAACGGCCCCGCCCACCACGCACTGCCTGCCGACTTCCCCTCCCCCCTGCAAGCCTTCATCACGAAATTATCCCACTCCACTCATTGCCTCTCCTGGGATCTGCCTGCCCCAAAGGTGACCTCCATCCTCGCGTCCCCTCCCTGATGTCACTCCTGCACTACTAAAATGTCTCCCTTTCCAGCACCCCCACCTAGAATGTGGCCCCTCCCATTCCCGGGCCCAGATCCCAGATCCCTCCTGCCTACCTGGCCTTGGGGTTCACCTGGGGGATACCCCCTCCCTTCCCCCCATGCTCTTCAAAGCATCCCAAACTCACAACTGGAAGCTCTCGTTGTACTTGGGAGCCCAGCTGTTGTTCTTGGATTTGGTCGCAAACTTGCGTTTCTTGTCGCTGAGCTGGGGCCCAATGATGTTGACCTCGATGAACGGCCGGAAGATGCCAGAAGTCTGCCACTTGAGGTCATTGGCAGCCACCACTGTAGGGGGAAGTAGAGGGTGAGACAGGTCAGGTTCTCCCAGTAGGAAAAAGTGGATGTTTGTGGTTCTCAAAATCTGTCTAAGGCTCACGCTTGTAATCCCAGAACTTGCGGAGGCCAAAGCCGGTGGATCACTTGAGCCCAGGAGTTTGAGACCAGTCTGGGCAACATGGTGAAACCCTGTGTCTATTAAAAATACAAAAATTAGCTGGGTGGCACGCGCTTACAGTCCCAGATACTTGTGGGGCTAAGGCAGGAGGATTGCTTGAGCCTGGGAGGCAGAGGTTGCAGTGAGCTGAGATTGTACCACTGCACTCCAGCCTAGGTGACA